GCAGTCCAGAGGTATATAGTCAAAGGACTCGACTAGTGACTCGGACTCCCGACTATCATTTTACCAATCACAGCAAGGCAGCAGCCGACTCTGACTGCCGACTCGAGAATAGAAATCACTCTATTCGATCGACTTTGAGTCGGGAGTCGGGAGTTAGAATCGGGAGCCTGTAGTGTGATTACGGCTTTATGCGCGCGATCGGCGGCTCGGGCGTAAAGTTTGGAGCGGTAGTGGGGGGACAGTAGGCGTCTTCTCAGAAATCTGGCCGAAAAAGGCAATTGATTCCGAGCGCTGAACTTTATACTCACGCAACATTTTCTATCTTAATCGGTCCATCCAACCGGGATTGATCCATAATGGCTGATAGCAAAGAATGATCCGTAAATGCGTAAATTTGTCTTAGTCGTCCAATATCAACTAGGATAATAAATCTATCGGCTCTTACTTTATCTTGTAACTTAATGTACGCAAAATGCCGGATTATACTTTGAACGAAATTATTGATATTGTTCTGGTACTTGGAGAATGCCATAATAATTATCGAGAAGCAGCTGCATTGTACCGTAATCGATTTCCTCATAGACGACATCCAAATCATTGTACGATTTCCAGTCTTATATTGCGTCAACGACAACGTCAAAAACGACAAAGACGTCATATTAACGTACCAGAAAGGGATGATCCAACAGTACTTGCCGTATTGGGAATGATAGCTATTAATCCACGCGTGTCAACGAGGCAAATCGAAAGAGAATTAGGTATTCCGAAATCAACAAGTCACAGAATCTTGACCACTCATAACTTCCATCCTTACCATATCACTTTGATACAACAATTAACACTCAATGATTTTCAACCAAGACTAGAATTTTGTAGGTGGGCACAAATAATGTTAAATCGTGATCGAACATTTTTCAGATTTGTTTTATTTAGTGACGAAGCAACTTTTCACAACATTGGACAATTAAATCGACATAATTCTCATTATTGGTCTGTTGAAAACCCACGTTGGTATAAAGAAGTTAATCATCAACATCGCTGGAGCCTCATTGTATGGTGTGGCATATTAAACGGAAACCTTATCGGCCCTTATTTCTTTGACGAAAATGTTAATGGTAATAATTATTTACACTTTCTACAACAAAGATTGCCGGCGTTGCTTGAAAATATCGATCTGGATACAAGACAACGTATGTTCTTTCAACAGGATGGTGCGCCTGCGCACTGGAGTAGAAGAGTTAGAAACCATTTATGTAGATCTCACATTCCCAGGTAGATGGATAGGACGCGGTGGACCAGTGTCATGGTGTCCTAGATCTCCAAACTTGTCAAGTCTAGATTTCTTTTTATGGGGATACTTGAAAAACGTAGTATATTCAAAAACGCCCACAACAAGAGAGAATATGATGGAGCGTATAACTCTTGCCTGCCGTAGCATTCCAAGAAATAGACTTTTATCGACAGTTGACAGTTTTGAACGTCGAGTTCAATTCTGTGTGGATAATAATGGACAAATATTTGAACATTTATTAAGATCATAATCATTTCACATGAAAACTAGATTCTGATATGAATCGACCGGATCAGTCCCGATCTTGCTTTAATCGGCCGGATTAGCCCCGATCTTGCTTTAGTCGGCCGGATCAGCCCCGATCTTGCTTGGGGTGATCCCGATTGACCACGTCTCGATTGGACACCACCAATCACAGCGACCGGTGCTTAGGAGCTTTGTAGTCTCAAGCGCTGTGAATGGCTCGTGTCCAATTGAGCCGTGTCCAACTGGGTGCCACCCATCTTGCTTTAGTCGGCCGGATCAGTCTCGATCTTGCTTTAATCGGCCGGATCAGTCTCGATCTTGCTTTAATCGGCCGGATCAGCCCTGATCTTGCTTTAGTCGGCCGGATCAGCTCCGATCTTGCTTTAGTCGGCCGGATCAGCCCCGATCTTGCTTTAATCGGCCGGAT